TGCTGGGAATGATTTCTGAACAAAACCTGTTGGGTTTTCCTGAGCTTTAGCCCTCGTCCTTCAGGTGCTGTTAAATGTAAACCAGTGATGCTGGTTAATGGCTCCATGGAGTGGGATTCAGTATAAACTTGTTACCCAAGACTTGCTAAACTGAGAACCCTGAAGGTTGGAGACCCTCAGAGTTAGCACCAAAATGAGTACAGCACCAGCCTTTCCAATGGCTCTGATCCACGGTCCATCCTGAAGCAGTCTCCTCTTGGACGAGAGGAGAATTTAGGTGACATGAACCATTCGGTCCACTAAATCTACCGTGGCCACCAGAATGTGATATCTGGAGTGTTCCCCTTATGACTATCAGGTGTAAAAGAGACTGTTGAGCTCATCTTGTAGCCTGCTTTGCCCTTGCTCTATGTTTTCTGTCATGGCCGTGTGCATATAGAAATAGCACCTGGAGTGGCTTCTGGAAATAGCTGGGGTAGAAGGAGATGAGATGGAGGTGAGTCACGGAGAGCCAGACTTGAGTAGATCTCCTGGAATTTTGTCCAAGCTGTATATTCCTGCCTGGGGCATCCAGCCTCAGCAAGTGATTGGTGCCATAGGGGAACAAGATGATACTCGAGAGAGGTTGACTGGGTGAAATCACCCCCTAAACTGCCTCTCAGAGGAACTGACCTACATCCTGTCCTTTCCCTGGGGAAAGGCTGAGATGTAGCACTTTGATGCTTTTTAACTTCCTCCCTTAGAAGAAAAATGTAATAACCTGTCTGTTCCCTTGAAGGGATAATTTTATAAAATTGTTTTTTTTAAGAGAAATTCCCCAAGACTGCAAATTGTATCCAGAATGTCTGGGGTAATATGTAAGTATAGCAATGTAAGCTGAGCCTTGTGGCTCACTGTAAATGCAGTTGGTCCATGCTGAAGAGCTTGGCATCCTCATGGCGTCCAACATCTCCTGAGTCAGCATAAGAAGTGGAAACTGAATTTGCCTGATCCTGATATTTGTCCAAATTTCCTGAGTTCTATTTTTTTCTGGCCTTAGAAAACTGTGTTGCTCTTTGAAAGATTCAATAAGGCTGATTTTTTTTTTTTTTTGGATCGGCACCAAGAGTGCATGAAGTTACAAGTCTGTGCATTGTCTGGCACTGAGTGGAGATTTGCTACCACACGTGTGCAGTGTGTGACCCTCAGCTATAAATCTTGGGGCAGATAATTCTCTTATCAGGAGAATGGGTGCCACCCTGCTAGAAAAGGAGGGTGTTACAGAATATGCTTGATTTATCTGAAGCACTGATTCACCCTTTGCTGAGATTCATAATGTTGGTCTCTGCAATATATAGATATTTATATAATTATATTGTGTGGTAGTGATATAGGACAAACTGGTGCCTCACTGTCCTACAGTGATCTCCTATAACTTCTCTGTCCTTGTGCACAATATATTTTATTTGGAGATAGGTTCGCAGCCGAGCTTGGCACCACATGTTATTGTGACACTCTTGGTATGTCCTGTTCATATATGTGATTTAAACATATTTTGGTTTCACCAGCTGTTCTGTGGACATTCTCAAGCCTTTCAATTCATAACACTCATCACCAGGAGTGTTATGAATCTTGTGGCTAGAAAAAGTCCTAAATATTAGACTATGTGGTTCTTTCGTGATGCAGCCAAACTCTAGCTTACAAGTAGCTTTGGCTGGATCCTGGTTTGGGCTGTAACTAATCTCATAGCTACAGATCCTGTTCTGATTTCTATTTTGAGTAGATCTGTGCCTGGTTTATACGAACACGCTCTCAAATCGCATCCGCTGCTTCGGACAAGGATTCCGTGGCCGCCGTAAGCAACACAAGTTACATTTCCATTTCTCTGCTGCTGGTAACTGTAGCAGCACATCCTTGGATCACATTTTCTTTTCTCACAGATGTGTCATGCTGACAGCTCACAGCCACCCTTTGATCACTTAATGTGCTCGGCTTTTGTTGTTCCCAATTTGCCTCCAGCTGCCAAGCACCTATTTTCATAGCAGAAACTCTGCAGCAGAAATTAGTTGCTTTGTGTGTGGTGGCTTTGCTCTTTGGACTTGCTGGCCTCCACCTCTTCCAAGAGGTGGTTGTGGTTTTACATTATGAGCGCCAATAAAAAAGGTCACAAATTAGACAGGAGGTGTTGCCGCCTCATGAGATTCATCTTGTCTCTGGGTCTTTATGGTTCTGGAGACCAGAAGTGCAAAGTGCATTTGATCATCTGTAAACAAACATTCCCTAAGGACTTTTGGGAGGAAGCCTAACCACATAATTGCCCTATTTA